ACTTTTCTGAGTTGAATGATGAAATAAAATGTATATTTGTAACCATGATGGGTAGAAGAGTATATGTATATGATAATCCAATCTTCAAGTCTACACCAACCTATAAGGATTAGAATATTGTAGCGAGACAACTAACAACATGTTATAAATATGTTACCTAGTTTTACAACGCTTTGTTGACTTTATGATTTGTTGCTGTCCTTTCATCTCAATACTATCACACTTTTTATATCTCTGATTGTGGCTTTGATGTCACATTTTTGTGGTTCAATGCATCCACGATCAAGCTAGAGCTATATTGGACATTATAATAGTCGAACATGCACGATATTGTTAATTAGGTGTTTATTAGATAGAATTGTCACAATAAATACTATTGAAGATATAATTGTTGTGACAGTCAAACAAAGAGAAAGGTTATAGACTGGACAAATGATTATGGGTTATTTGATAGTGTTCTGTCATCAAAGAGAAATTTTTATGTTGTTTGAAGTTGAATAGAAACCTTGGATATAAATACGCCAGGTTAATTACCTATATTCAAATACGTATGATATTACTTATGATAGACAACATTAAACGTTATTGCTAACTTTGTGTCTGAACGTTAAAATTATTCAGAAAAGCAAGAATATTGTCTGGATCAGATTTGATAAAACTGATTGATCTGTACCTAGCAATTGAAATTTATCTTAAATATTGGGAATGTTTCTCTCACCAAAGTCCATATCCATGAATTTTATTACGAGCAGGTGTGGTAAATTAAGGCACTAAAATAAGAGACAATGAATTTACAAGTATAGACCGTAGTGTAACAGAACTTTGTGCCATCAAGTTTGATTTGGCTAAAATTCAAGTCTTATGAAAGTCCCATACTTTAAAATGATTTGTATGCAATTTCTCAAAGAACCATATGTGCCGTCAAGTTTGATTTGGCTAAAATTCAAGTTTTGTGAAAGTCCCATACTTCAAAATGATTTGTATTCAATTGCCCAAAGAACTATTTGAAGACAATGAATTGTTGAGCTCCTGGTCTGGTATCTAACCAAACAATGTTGACTTCCTCAGTATATGAGATTCAATGACAGTATTATCTGGAAATGCAGGACGGAGTGCCTGACAAGGACAACTGTCTAGTTCTTCGGATGAGACGAAAAACTGAGGTCCCTGTATACATTGGAATGCATGTAAAAGATCCCTTAGCAGTTGGAATTCGATATAAGAGTAGGCGATAGTGCCGCTGCCGGGCAAAATTTCCCTCATAGCACACTGTATGGCGAATGCCCATCTTCATTAGCCCAGCATAGGAGCAGAACTATTTTGTCATCCATCCCCCAAGCCTTCAGTTTTGACATAAATCATTAAGTCTCTTAAGTATCTAATATAGCCTAAGCATTGCCTCAAGAAGAACAGATCTGTATTTATAAAAAAAATGAAACAAGTTTGTTTTAAAATATCGGTATTCACTCTTTATGGATACATTTTGCTTTTACCATCCAGCAAAACATAAGGGACACTTTGGAAAGAGGGGGGATTGGATGGCCGATTGGTTAGCATAAGCGCACTGTATTATAAGGTTTGTCATTGAGTCAACTGGCGTGGTTTCGATCCCCCAGCTGTACGTGACAAGGAGTAGGGTCGCCTGTCCAACCTTGTGGGTTTTCTCTGGGTCCTTTGGTTCCCCCCCTCTGATAAAATTATTGAAATAAAATTGAACCATGTGTTAGTCCCAAAGTGACCTAGTTTTTGTCAAGTGGATGTTAAACCCCCCATCTCTCTCTCTCTCTCTCTCTCTCTCTCTCTCTCTCTCTCTCTCTCTTTCTGTCTCTCTCTCTTTGGAAAGACCTAGCATGGATTAGATACTAAACCTTATTAACTGATACTTATAAACTTATTGATTGAAAAGGGGTTTTATTGATTGAAGGAAAAGGGTTTTATTGATTGGAAAAGAGATATTTCTTCATTAGAGACACTTTTGGTAAGACCTTATGACTTAGATAAAATCTTATTAACTGATGCTTATTTAAAACTTCAAAATTTGTGTTAAGTCTGAAGATGACAAGGAGATTTTATTGATTGATAAAAGTTTTTTTTTGTAAAGGTTCTTAAGAGATGTCAGCAGATTTTTATTGACTGTAAGAAGCAAGAAATTCATCAAAAAATCATTTACCTTAATAATCTTTTACATAGATCAAAAACAACTACATGAACAAAAACAACTACAAGATTTTTTTTTGTCTCTCAATGGTAGGAAACAAGAAAACCACAATAAGAAATCATTAGGCTTAATAAATAATCTTTTACACGGATCAATTGAACAAAAGAAACTACGAGAAGTTTTTTGTCTCTTAATGGTATTGATTATTTTATTGTTTAGTGTTTTATTGCTCATCTTAATAAGTCGAGCTGCAGAAAAACTATTGTTCTGAGACGAATCTATTGTAATTGGACAAACCATTTGTTCTATTTATCCACGCGCTTGTAGCAGACAAATACAAAAGATAAATATTCGAACATGTCTTAATAACAGGTCTTAATGTACCCCCTGTCGACATCCACGTAAAGTAAATCACTTCAACTACATTAAACATGTTTTTGTTGAGGTGTGGAATCAATATTTAAAATATGAGAGATGATTTACCTGTCAGGTGGAATATAGGACAATGTTGTCACAAAAAACAAAGACAGATGACATTTTTTGTTGAAATCCCCCAGGTTTTTTGTTATTATAAAGAATAGTATGTTTTTATAGGGTTAGGTGTGGTGGTGTTATACCTGCTGATAATACTGGTATATGGAATGTTTTTTTTGAGGATAAATCTTAGAAAAATCTAAAACAAAAGCAAAAAAGATGTTGATTTGATTTTGAAAGATTTGTATTTTTATGAAAAAAAGTTATGTAAAGGAAGATATCTTAAATATAACAACGAGGTGTGTCATACCGTCGTTCAGTTGTTTGAGTAAACGGAGCAGATTTTGTTGGTGCCATCAGTCTGTTGGTCATTTCTATTGCAAGATAAAAAGTCTGGTGTTAAAATATAGATTAGAAGACTATAGTTTATTTAGGAAAAAAAAAATATGTTCTCATCAAAAGAACTGTGTTAAGAATCCAATTGACTTGAAATAATTAAGATAGTTTGTCTGGGCTCTGCGTCTCTTCTGCCCATCCTCATTGCAAGAAAAAAGGACAATATGAATGAACCAGAGCCATGTGGAACTAACTGTATTAATATGGAGCATTGTGTTCAGAGCTGAATCATTACATTTTGCAGGTTGGGTTGGATAGCGGAATGGTTAGCTTGTGCGTGTTGTATCATAAGGTCTGTTATTGAATCAACTGGCATGGTTTTGATTACCCGGTTGGAAGTGACAAGGAGTAGGGTCGCCTGTCCAACCTCGTGGGTTTTCCACGGGTCCTCTGGTTCCCCCCACGGCTAAAGACCCCTATACGCAAGCGAATTATTGAAATAAAATTGAACCATGTGTTAGTCCTGAAATGACCTAGTTTGTGTTGAGTGGACGTTAAACCCCATTTCTCACCCCATCTCTCTCTCTCTCTCTCTCTCTCTCTCTCTAATCGGAAAATCGGAAAATATAATTCAATAAAGCCCAATGACCAAATTATGATGTTTGTATTGAGGAAGACATATACACGAGTTTAAATATTATCAAAGATTTACCAAGATTTTTAACCTAATTTAAATTTATTTGACTTTAGGTTAAAAAATATTTTCTATCCCACTGACCAACTGCCAATATTTGTTTGAGTGAGATGAAGTCGTGGTTTGGTTGGTCATAACTTGAGTCAACACCACCTTGTTGATACTGTATTTCTGTGGCAACCAAGTGTTCATCTCAAGTACTTCCTATGTATACTTTATCTATATACTTATGACTTGTCTTGCCTGGCAGTATCAACATGTTGTCAACCCCCCTTTACTCGGGTCTCCGTCTAGCAGGTGTGTTAACATAAGCTTCTTGTAGTAGTGGGCCGTACAGTTTATCAACGTATTTAACCGTTGATAGTATTTAGATAAAACCGGGAGTCCCGACACTCCACGAGTAATCACCACAATATTTGTGTTTTTGTAAACATTGTTTGAACCTCATTTTTTTGATAAGTTGTACCAGGTGGAGGTTTCTCTGTTATTATAAAACACCCTATTTATTATTCTTACCCTTCTTATATACAACTTATTGGACATTACAGTGGTGTGTAGAGAGGGGTGGGGCATAGTGGGTAAAGGCCACAGGCATACAGCCATACATCTAACATGGGTATCCAATGAAAGAGTGAAAGTAAATTAATTTTTTTGAAATTTGAAATTATCACTGTCAACCTACCGTACTTAATTTTTTATTTTATCTGTTTTGTCATATTTTATAAAAAAAATGTCTGCCTTTCTCACAATACTGAGTACTAGACTCTATACTTGAGTATTGGGGTTATACAATCAAAGAGTTGGTCCATGCATCACCAAGTCTTTACATGCCACTGGGACATTAACCGGTAATACCAGATAGAATGGGGGTCGATACATTCTGAACTGCTTTTGCACCCCAGATAATAACTAGCTCACCAGATACATATTTTTATTTTTTTCCCCTTACCGATTCATTCACCTTTTCATAAATCAATAACTGGTACTCATATCTGTAACTAAAATGTGATGTCATCCTTTGATGTTGGCGTACCATTATTTCAAATAATGTATGGGCAACTTATCAATTGTACATTATTTATACTAGTGAAATATTGAACTTGCGGGATGCATTTCACTGTAAAAGCATGTGCAGAGTGTCTGTATTTTAAGTTGTTCAATGGTCTTGAGCTTAAGACATTGCGTAATATATTAAAACGACACTCAGGCCTTACGGCCCTCATGTCGTTTCAACAAAGTATGTGTTGCCATTCATTGTTTAGTCCACAATTCCTTAAATTGAAAAAGAAATATAAACTTATTCAGCATATTTATGATATAACTTTTTTATGTTTTCAGGCCTATTTACGTGAAGGTGTAGCATTACAACAACTAGAGCAACATGGAGAAGCTTTGGCAGCGTTTGCGTCTGGTTTGGCTCAAGAACCAACCAATGCTCATCTGCTGGCAGGGTTGGCAGACACGGCTCTTAAATCACCCCTCAGAGGTAGGTCTCGTCAAGAATTTTAGTAAACAAGCTGTATCTTTCAGTTAAATATATGCATACCATATTTGAAAGAATTTAACCTTAAAACCTGACATGGTTGAAAGCATCACTTTGAATCATAAGGTCTGCTGTCATTGAGTCTAGTGACATGGTTTCGATTCCCTCTGCTTGTAAGTGACAAGGTGTAGGGTTGCCTGTCCAACCTTGTGGGTCTGTCCAGGTCCTCCCACTGCTAAACACATCTTCGTACAAGTGAATTATTGAAATAGAATGGAATCATATGTTAATCCTGAAATGAACTAGTTTGTGTCAAGTCGAGGTTAAACCGAATTTCTCGCTCTGTCTTTATATTAAACACATCCTCAAATCCTGACATTGATCACAGTTTGTTTTAATTAAGAATATTTGTTTTTGTTTCTGACGTAATTACGATGTCGTGCTAAAACCACCTTTATTTACATGTTGACATATGATATGTATATGTTACAAATCAACAAGCCCCGCACCGCTCTGTCTGCTCACTCTGATTAATTTATCTTCTTGATATTTGACCACACTTTCAATGAACAATGGAGGACAGACTTGCCAAACCTTGCTTTCAAACAAATAGGATCAAAATGACCGGTGTATTTTAGGATATGTGGACAACACTCGGACGTGAATCGAAAGGACAACACGTTCTCTAAATGATGGGGGTAGAGACTGTAACTTGATAGGAAGTTTGTTGCCATGACAATCATGGCTACTGTATTTTAGCAATTGTCTGCCATCTTGCGATGAACTTTCCCCACATGTTTTGTACCTAACGTAACTTTGAGAAACTACTTGTACAAATAACGTTACACACTCGATCGGAGACATTAACTCTGTACGATTATCTTAATTGGTTGAACCAATAAACAGAATCGTAACATATTTACTTAATGGTAGATTGATCACATATAGTATACCACTTCAAAGCTTATTTAATTTACTCCTAGAGTGCAATTGATCTTTTGAATTTCGTCAAAATGTTTTTGGGTGAATAAATGTTCAATATGGCGAGTCTTTTTCTATCAGTTTCGGTATTTGCTTTTATTTTTGATTAACTTACTTTCTCATGCGTTAGTATATTTCCTCACTTGAGATGTGAATAGAGGAAGTTTTTTTTTGTGAAACTTGCTATTTATTAAAAAGAAAAATGACTCAACATCATTTTGTAGTCTTTAGCGACTGATGAACACTACAGGGTCTATTTGATATTATCCAGTAGCTCTTGCTGGGATATTATCCAGTAGCTCTTGCTGGGATTTTATCCAGTAGCTCTTGCTCCTGGGCGAGATTATCCAGTAGCTCTTGCTCCTGGGTGAGATTATAGAAACTCATGAGATTTACCATTCAAATTCTCGATAGCCATTTGCTACTGCAAACTGACATAGCACAGTTTGCGTTTTCAATAGAAATTATAAGAATGGTATGTCTGTTTAATAATTTAAGGACACCAATTTTGCCTGTAGGTATGTGAGTGCTTTTGTGTGGCATTAACATATAATAAAACCTGCACTCCTAGTTGTATTATTACAATCAGATGGTTTACAATTCTGTTATATATGACAACACATATCATATTGTTTCAGTCTGTTCATTCTTTAACCCTTCAGCTCTTGAAATGACAAGTAACTAGGGCTCCTTAGAATGCCACAAACAGCCAGTGTCATCTAAATTGTTATAACACCCCCAAGTGTTTGGCTCTGCAACATATCTAGGTTGGTTGGGGGCGATCTGGGGGGGTTGGATGGTCAAATGGTTAGCATGTGCACGTTGTATCATAAGGCCTGTCATTGAGTCAACTGGCCTGGTTTCGAATCCCCGGTTGTAGACGTGACAAGGAGTAGGGTCGCCTGTTCAACCTCGCCTGCTAAAGACCCCTACACGCAAGCGAATTATTGAAATAAAATTAAACCATATGTTAGTCCTGAAATGACCTAGTTTGTGTCGAGTGGACATTAAACCCCATCTCTCTCTCTCTCTCTCTCTCTCTCTCTCTCTCTCTCTCTCTCTCTGGGGGGGGGGGCGATCTGAGGAACAGTGGTTTCAGGTGGTTTGGGGCTGTCCATGGATATAATGATATGAACTATAATCCCTTTACTCTAATATTCATCAAGGCACCAAGGTTTTTAATACTTGCATGTACCATACTAAAAGGTTACCATATTTTTGTTTTCTCTTATTTCAGAAACCTTGGCACCAACATTTCAACAGTTGGAAAGATTACGGTTAAACAGAAGTCCGTTTGTGGTAATATCAGTGATTGGACAAGAATTACTGGCTACAGGATACTATGCTCCCTCCACGCTTATGTTGGAATCAGCCCTGAAGATTGGAACGTGTAGTCTCAAACTTCGTGGATCTGTTTTCTCAGCTTTAAGTAGTGGATATTGGGGTTTGGGTAATATTGATAAAGCTATACAATTTATGCAACAAGATCTGTCAGTAGCTAAGTCACTAGGTAAGAAAACTTAATCATTCTTTCATTAAAACCTGGTAGTAAAACAGGTTTTGAAAATGACCCTAGTGTGTATCTTTTTCAAGCATATTTGATAAGATAGAACTGTTTTGAACTCAAATCCTCATATCCCAAAAATTGAGATGAGCGTAGGAATTTTCTTATTCCATTTTTTGTAAAACAAGAATTTTTTTATGCCTGTTAGGAAATTTGGTGCACATGTATGATTAAGTCATATTTGAAGTAATACCCCCGTCAGACCGGGGTGGCATCCTTACTGCGCTACTACAGTGACAAAAAATTGTCTCAGAACGCATAAGTGTGGTGGAAACACCAGATATCTTGCTGTTGTCTCCATGGTTGCCAATAATTGCAGAGTCATAACGTTTGTTTTGAGCATGTTCAAAACAAACGGCAAGGTTCTACGATCTGACCTGAAAAGCTGTGAGAACGCGGCTATTTTCAAGTTTGTAATTTTTTGGGACATTTTCTTGTGGTGTGTTGTGTTCGCTTCTGCTGGCGACCTTGTGCAATTTCTGGTCGTCGTAGGGTCGTAGCAGTGCAGTAAGGATGCCACCGCGGTCTTACGGGGGTATAAACAATTGTAGATAATGTAAGAAACAAGAAAGGAAATGATTTCGTGAATATCTTCTGTCTTTTAATTTTGTGTGTGTGTGTGTGGGTGGGTCAGTTGTTATAAATAAATGTAGTTCTCATTAATGCATTTTGTCTGCGATGTCACTCTAGGTGGAAGTGGATTTAATACCCTACTACCTACCTACCATTAATACATCTAGGACAAAAAAGAATGTGTATTATCATTAGTTTCCATCAAATCATATCACCATTTTTTTTTTTCTTTTCCTACTTCCTGTATATCCCGCTTGTCAGTGATGCAGGACAAAGGGCCTGACAAGGACAGCTGTCTAGTCATTCGGATGGGATGGAAAACCGAGGTCCCGTGTACACATTGGTGTGCACGTAAAAGATCCCTTGGAAGTTGGAATTCGATATAAGAGTAGGCCGTAGCGCTGCTCCCCGGGCAAAATTTCCCATGTAGCACACAGTATGGTGTATGCCCTTCTTCATTAACCCAGTTTAGGAGTAGGACGTTAAACCCCATTTTCATTTCATTTCCAGTATATCTGTCTAATTCTGACCTATATCTGTAATTTCAGGAGATCAAGATGGAGAATGTAGAGCATATGGTAATTTGGGGTCAGCACATTTTTCTAAAGGTCAATACAAAGAATCGCTAACCAATCATAGATATCAACTAGTTCTGGCCATGAAATTAAAACAAAAATCTACAGCTTCCGCAGCATTGAGCAGTTTAGGTCATGTATATACAGCAATAGGGGATTACCCTAATGCCCTAGCCAGTCATAAACAATGTGTTTTATTACTTAAACAAGACAACGATAAATTATCAGAAGCGCGTGAAATCGGTAATGTTGGGGCTGTGTATTTAGCCATGGGAAATTTTGACAGTGCTGTCGAGTGTCATCACGAACATCTGAAAATCGCTCGTTTATTAAAGAACAGTGTTGAAGAAGCGCGGGCGTATAGTAATTTAGGAAGTGCTTATCATTATAAAAGGGACTATAATCGTGCCATGATGTTTCACCAACAAGTATTAAAAGTTGCAGAAATGCGAAAAGACAGAATCTTAGAAGCTCGAGCTTATGCAGGTCTTGGACATTCTGCTCGATGCACTGGTGACTATGATAATGCGAAAGGATTTCATGAGAAACAGTTAGACAATGCTTTACAAACTAGTGATAAAGTGGCCGAGAGTCGTGCTTGTGCTAATCTAGGAATAATATATCACCAATTAGGAGAATACGAGGCAGCGCTGAAACTTCATAAAATGAACCTGAAAATAGCGAAATATCTTGGAGACAAAGCCAGTCAAGGTCGTGCATTCGGTAATATAGGAAACGCATATAGTGCTTTAGGTCAATATGATATGGCCATCAAATATCATAAACAAGAGTTAGGTATATCATCAGACGTCAATGACCGACATTCGGAGGGTTCGACCCACGGTAATTTAGCTGTGGCATATCAAGCTTTGTGTATGTATGATAATGCGATACAGCATTATATTGCACATTTAAATGTTGCTCGTGAATTAAAGGACGCATCCAGCGAGGCAAGAGCATTGTGTAATTTAGGAAACTTTCATTGTGCGCGGAAAGACTACTCTGAGGCGATTCAGTTCTATGAACAATATCTAAACATTTCCCAAGAACTACACGATTCAGAGGGTGAAAGCAAAGCCTGTTTCCATTTAGGTTATGCTCACTTTTCATTAGGGAATCATTTAGAAGCAATACGATATTATGAACAGGATTTAGCCATAGCTCGGGAAAGAAAAAACAGACTGTCTTTGGCTAGGGCTTACTGTAACCTAGGTTTAGCACATAAAGCTTTACAAGACTTTACAGAAGCTCTGGAGTGTCAAAAGAAATGTTTAGGTTTGATGAATGCTCTGAAAAATGGACCAGGTAAATTCAGAGCTTTAGGGAACATTGGTGATTTAATGTTAAAAACTGGTGACACAACAGAAGCCATTAAGATATATAACCAACAACTTCAGTTAGCGAAACAATTAAACGACCAGGAGTTAATGGCTTCAGCTAACGGTTCCCTGGGTGTGGCTTATAGAGCAATAGGACAAAATGACAAAGCTCTGGCTTATCATACCCAGGAACTCAACATTTATCAAGAGCTTGAAAATCTTAAAGGTGAATGTCATGCTCATGGTCATCTGGGTAACGTTCATATGTCTCTTGGTAAATATCTTAGTGCTTATAAATGTTATGAAGAACAGTTGGAGCGAAGTCGCGATCTTCACAATAGTAGCTTGGAAGCCCAGGCTTGTGGTAATCTTGGTATTACAAAAATGAACATGGGACAATATGAAGATGCTATAGGATTGTTTGAAGAGCAGTTAGCTATGTTAGAACAGGCTTATGGTAATACAGCAATTCAAGAAAAGGGCAGAGCATTTGGCAATCTTGGAGATTGCTACGAAGCTCTGGGTGATTATGAGGAGGCAATCAAATGCCATGAACAATTTTTAGCAACTGCTCAGCAGTCAAACACTCTGTCAGAGCAGGACCGTGCTTATCGTGGCTTAGGTAATGCTCATCGATCTATAGGAAACTTACAACAAGCTTTAGTATGTTTCGAAAAGAGACTTGTGGTTGCTCACGAAGTCAACAGCTCTGGTGCTAAAGCGTCCGCATATGGGGAGCTGGGTTGTCTACATAGTCTACTAGGGAATTATGAACAAGCTATATCATGTTTAGAACATCAGTTGTCTATAGCTCGAGAGATGGGTGATGAACAGTGTGAAGGAGATGCTGCTTGTGGACTAGGTGGAGTTTATCAGCAGATGGGAGAATATGAGACTGCGTTAAAATACCACAAGTTAGATTTACAGATAGCAGAACGTACCCATAATACAGCTTGTCAATGTAAGTATCAGAGTCTCTTTTATTGATTGATATTTATATATTTGATTTGGAAATAAACCTAGTTTTAATTTAAGCTGGTTTTTATGGGTTATCCTCAAGCGGCTGATCATTCATGACATCATTACATTTTCTCCCATCAAAACGTTCTCATCTTATTATCATCTCTATTGTCATGTTTGATATGCCTCTTGGAAAAGTAATAAATAAATAATAAATCGTCCATATCTATGGGGGCGGGGTGGATGGCTGAATGGTTAGCACGTGCGTGCTGTGTCATAAAGTCTGTCATTGAGTCAACTGGTGTGGTTTAGATTCCCCGGTTGCACGTGACAAGGAGTGGGGTCGCCTGTCCAATCTCGTGGGTTTTCTCTGGGTCCTCCGGTTTCCTCGCACTGCTAAAGACCCCTACGCGCAAGCGAATTATTGAAATAAATTTGAACTATATGTTAGTCCCGAAATGACCTAGTTTGTCTTGAGTGGCCGTTCAACCCCATTTCTCTCTCCCTCCATATCTATGGAATCATAGACTGATCATAATCTTCAAAATTTCGAAACAGACTTTTAAACAAACTATATAATACAATAGGGGTCTGTCCAAACTAAGGTATCTATATGTGGTTATATACTTTCTTTAGAACCATAGAAAGATCAAAATCCTGAAAGTTTTGAAAACAAAAATTTATGTAATGCATAATGGGGATAAGGCTCTGTCCAAGCTAAATCTTCTAAATGTTTTCATCCAAATTATGGAAAGAATTTCATTTAACAATAATTTGCAATGTCATCCTTCTTCATGAAGGTGATATGCGTATCTGGAAATGATAATTTCTATTGCATGTGGAATTTTTAATTTTATTCCTTATAGATATTAAAAATATCAATAAAAGTGCCAAAAAAAGACAATCTGTAATATCAATAAAAGTGCTGAAAAAAAGACAGTCTTTAAACGAGATAATGACAGGTACTTATACCGGAGGGATTGTGCCAGACAAAGTCGGAATCTGTGTCTGATCCTGTCTGTGACAGGTACCATATTTTCAGGCTTATATACATTTACTAAGAGTTTTACTTATTTATATTTTACAGGTCGAGCGTTTGGTAATCTAGGTTTATCGTTTGAATCGTTGAGTAATTACGAACAGTCTGTGAAATATCAGGAACAACATCTAAGTATAGCAGCACAGATGAATGATAAGGTGGCTAAAACACTTGCTTATAGCAGTTTAGGTAAGTTTCTACAAAATCTGTGATTTTATTCATAGACTAAGACAACATTTAGTTACTACATGTAAATAAAAGTTATATTTAGCTTAGTGTTCAGCAGCAGTAAAGTTGCATGATAAGATCTGTCATTGAGTCAAGTGGCGTGGTTTCGAATCCCCGGTTGTACATGACAAGGAGTAGGGTCGCCTGTCAACCTCGTAGGTTTTCTCTGGGTCTCCCAGTTTCCTCCCACTGCTAAAGACCCCTACGCACAAGCGAATTATTGAAATAAATTTGAACCATATGTTAGTCCCAAAATGAGCTAGTTTGTGTCGGGTGGACGTTAAACCCCATTTCTCTCTCTCTCTATGTGTGTGAATTCCTAGAATGGCATGAATGAACATATGATGTGATAAATGTAGAACCCAGATAAGTGACATTTAGCTCCTGAATGATCCTTTGACAAATTTAAATAGAAACATAAAAATAAAATCTTCCCTCCCTTATAATACTTTTTGAAGAATTGGCTGAAGCTGGAAACCAGAATATTTTTGTATGACGTTGGGTATCTTGTGTACTAAACACAAGTTATAAAAATCACTAAATAGTCCTATTAATATTTTACAGGAAGAGTTCATCATGCTTTAGGTCATCACACAGAAGCTGTACAATATTTAAAACAAGGGTTACAGATTGCCGAACAACTGAGTCGTAGGGAAGATGAAGCTAAGATCAGACATCGTCTAGGTCTAGCGTTGTGGGGTAAAGGAGATCTAAATGAATGTCAACAACAACTGTATAAGGCAGCCGATCTGTTTGAAATGATACGAAGGGAATCACAGTGTAGTAGTGATTATAAACTCTCGTTATTCGATCTACAAACGGCCTGTTATCAGGCTCTACAGGTTAGTGTTCAGACTTATTTCTTAATAAAATATTTTCTCGTGATGATGGTTGTAGGTTTGCGTTTCACTGCTTTCAGTTTAATTTTGGATCATTTTCCAGAATAAGTTTTACCAGGAGAGGAAGAATTCCAATTTTAGGTTCAATTCCTGTGTGCAAATAAAAACTGTGGTACAAGTTTTGTGGGAATGGGGTCTTTTAGATATATTTTGAAGTGTCTGGTCGGCATTTAAGGGATTATAAAATTAAAATATTATGAATCTTTTGAAAGGAATAACAATCCAAAAATGATTCAATTCTAGATATTATGAACTGAAAATTTCTCATCATTCAGCAACTTCTGCAGGCAATATATATATGAATGAATGAAATTTTCAATATATTCATTTTGCGTTACCTATTATTGAAATATTATAGCGAGAACGGACAGCTCTTTATCTAAATATTACATAATGCCTCTGTAAGTAAATGTTAAACGTACATTATGCAAGAGCTAAATTTGCCCATTGCAGGTCTTTCTTTAGGCCTGAAATGTTGTCTAAATTATTAATTAGACATTAATTAACATATCCAGACCATAATCAACTCTCGATGCCATCGTTAGCCTGTGATATTTACTGGATTAGAATCCGATCTGCTGCTCAACGCTCATTGTTGATTAAATCAAAAAATGGATAATCGAGACTGTTTTTTATCATACCGACTTCAGTAATGATGATCGAGGCTGGGCCTAAAATTCAATTGCTAAATTCTTAGTTCAGAGTGGATCAATTTGACTGAAATTTTCAGCAAATTCTCATTACATTATTTTTTTAAACTGTTATAGTGAGAACTGCCAGCTCTTTATATAATCTCCCATAATGTATCTTTAAATAACTATTTTAGATATTGTATGAACCATGCAGGATCAGTTTTGGTGACTTTGTGACCTGTTTTTAACTCACCATATTTTTCCTAGCCGAATGTAACATTATATATTGTCACAGAAATACAAATGACATTTAATTTCTTTAAATAAATGAATAGATTTAATATTTTTATGTCCAATTCTACAACCATTTGCTTTTGTTTTTACAGAGAGTTTTAGTGGCTTTAAAACGTCACGATGAAGCCTTGGTTGTAGCTGAGAGAGCTTGTACACGTGCGTTTATAGATCTATTATTAGAAAGACAAGCTGGTTCTGCTGGTTTGTTTAATGGGACCACGATGGATCTGACACCTATAACAATAGATCAATTAACGCGAAGTGTATCAGGCCAGAAGTCTCTGGTTTTATCATTCTCTATAGCAGCTGGTTATCTTTATAGCTGGTTACTGACACCTAAAGATGGTAAGTTTTATACTTGAATAATTTCAAAATATTCTAGATTCGATCTTGGACACATTAGCATGTATGTAAATAAATTATCCAGTGGTAGTTGCAATTAAACATACATTATGCAAGAGCTAAATCTGTCTATTGCAGGTCTTTCTTTAGGCCTGAAATGTTATCTAAATTATCAAGTAGACATTAATTAACCTATCCAGACCATAATCAACTCTAGATGACATCGCTAGCCTGCGATCTTTAGTGGATTATGAGCCGATTTACTGCATAACTTTCCTTAATGATTTAACAATTAAATGGATAATCGAGACTATGCTGTTTATCATACTGCCTTTAGTAATGATGATCAAGGCTAGACAGAAATTCAATCGCTTTGATCTTGGTTCATAGTGGATCAATTTGACTGAAATTTTCGGCAAATTCCCTTTACATTATCTAGTTTTTAACTAATATAGTGAGAACTGCCAACTCGTTATCGAATCTCCCATAATGTATCTTTAAAGAAGAGTAGGCAGATACGAGGCTGCTGCCCAGACAAAATTCTCCAAAGAAATTAAAATTCCAATATGTTAGTCTCAAAATGACTAAGTATTGTTATCCCATTCAATTTCAAATTTTGAATTGTTTGTTTTGAAAATTTGTAAGATAAAAACACTATGCGTCTTTCTTTCTATGGCATTTAGTAATAAACTGGAAATAAACAGGACAAAATTATATGAAATTCAATTACTACTTATTACTGAGTGGCATTTTCATTAGAATTCTCTCTAGTCTTTTTTCTCCTGGTCCTCCGGTTACCTCCCATTGCTAAAGACCCCTATGCGCAAGCAAAATATTGAAGTAAAATTTAACCATATGTTAGACCCGAAATGACCTAGTTTGTGTCGAGTGGATGTTAAACCCTCACATAAGGTCTGTCATTGAATCAACTGGCATGGTTTCGATTCCCCAGTTGTATGTGACAAGCCTGTCTAACCACGTGGGTTTTCCCCGGGTCCCGAAATGACCTAGTTTGTGTCAAGTGGAGGTATTAAACTCTCTCTCTCTCTCTCTCTCTCTCTCTCTTTCTCTCTCTGGTCTTTATTCAGCAGTGATACAATTACAAAACAAGATGGATCTTTCTAGAATTGATATGTACAACTTTTACCATAATATAATTACTTCATTATTTAAATGTGGTTTAATTTAGGTTTGGTAAAGTTTCATGAGATAAATATGGCTGAGTTAGAAGCTGATGTTGAACATGGTGATATACAAAGTGTTATGAGTTTTTCAACAAACAATATATTAGATCAATGTATTGGTCAGATACGAGAGACTATGGGTGTTGATAGTCATTTATCATCTAGTAGTTCTCATAGGTAAGTGTTGGCTATCTTTAATCTTATTACACTGAAAGTTTTGTTTAGATATCCATTATTTTATGCCCTGTGTACAAATGTCCCTTCTTATTTCCTTCCAGGTCCAATCATAACTTTACATTGAATGACTGCTTTCAAATTTGGAGGATTGGGTGGCCGAATGGTTAGTGTGCGTGTCATTGAGTCAACTGCCATGGTTTCGATTTCCCGGTTGTACGTGACAAGGAGTAGGGTCACCTCTCCAACCTCATGGGTTTTCTCTGGGTCCTCCCGTTTCCTCCCAATGCTAAAGACCCTTACACTGAAGTGAATTATTAAAATAAAATTAAACCATATGTTAGTCCCGAAATGATTTAGTTTGAGTCATTCTCGCTCTCTCTGCTTTCAAATTTAAGTGTAATATGCTCTGAAGGTATAACTTACAGCAACAGCATACAGAGTTTTATTATATTATATTTATGCTCTGAAGATATAGCTTATAGCAGTATCTGACATCTTTTATATGAAGAATTAATGACCAAATAAAGTAAAATATGTCAAACTTTCTCCATATAGAAAATCTGAAATGGTAGAATTATTGGGTATAAATTATGAAATAGAGATCACACAAACATTCAAATAATTTCGCTTAAATTGCAGGAGACTAAATTTAAAATTTCTTTATTTTCCTAGGAGCCTTACACTGAGTCGAAGTGAGTTAGATGCTGATGATTCAGGTAGTGAAACAGAGGAAGTATTCCAGAATCAGTTAGAAGAGCTGGGTGATCGTCTCAATGCGGAGAATGATAGAACAGGATTTTTACGTATGGTGAATCGAAGTCATCAGTTTAACAGTAGTAGCTACAGTATCAGTAGTCTCTTCAGTCTCTCTAGTAACTTCCCGGGCAATTTTAATCGTAAAAACAGTGTCAAAAATAAACCAGCGAACAAATCTCCATTGAATCTGCTGTACCAGTACCTGTTTCAGCCCATGGAAGAGGCTATTGAAGAGGTGACTCATGGCGCCGAGGGTCCAATCGATTTAGTTTTGGTGTTACAAGGTGATCTTTATCTTATTCCATTCATGATGTTGAAGAAGGAAGAAGAAGAGGAATATTTCTATGAGAAATTTAATCTCATTGTAGTGCCATCCATCAGTGCTTTACAAAATACGCAAAAAATGGACAAATATGGACGACCTGTGATAGACTCCTCTGGGGCTCTGGTTGTCGGAAATCCTAAACTCACTCCGTCAGTCTGTCAACATTGGCACCTGAAAGAAATTCCTGGAGCGGAATACGAAGCTAGAATCGTGGGAGAACTTTTGTCTTGTCGGCCATTGATTGGTGCAGAAGCAACAAAGGGAGCCATTTTGCATCAGTTAGAACAAGTTGAAGTCATCCATTTTGCCACCCATATTTCATGGAAATTATCATCCGTGATTCTCTCCCCTGGTGATCTCACATCACAAAGATTTTCATCGATGGATTCGGACAACAGATCTAACGATATAAACAATATGGATGGACCTGCGTTATCGGAATATTTACTGACTGCTGCCGACATCTTAAACCTGAAGCTCCACGCTAAGTTAGTGGTTATTAACTCGGGCTACACTGATGATAAGGCTGGACGAATAAACACAGATGGTGTGGTTGGATTAACCAGGTCGTTATTATCAGCCGGTGCCCAATGTGTGCTATTTTCGCTGTGGCCAGTACCAGATCAAGCCACCAAACTATTAATGCGTAATTTATACAAATGTCTACAAGATGGTGAAAGAGTTACAGAGGCATTGTCTAAAGCTGTTAAAATAGTTCAGTGTACGAAACAGTTTTCCCATCCATCAAACTGGGGTGGTTGGGTTTTAGTGGGATGTGATATTAGATTAAGTAGTAAAACAGCTCTAATGGGTCATTCTATATGTGAAATATTACAATCACCAACACAGTGTAGAGAGGCTATGAGAGTTCTACTGCATCTGGTAAGTTCTAAAACTTTGACAAATTTTAGGCTACTTTTTGTGTTTCTTGGTTTTGGGCGGTGATTCGTAATTCTAATGTATGCTCCTAACAATTGAAATGGGCTATAACACATACTTATGGAAAAACAGCTACTTATTTAATTGGACGACATTTCAAAGAGTATTCTCTCAACGTTATCAAACTAATAAATAAATAAGTCGCTGTTTTTCCTTGACAAATGAAACCGGGTTTATCATCTTACTTTTCTGCGCCAACTGGGCTATGAAGACTGACATATGCCATGGAATGTGCTATGTGATAAATTTTCCCGACAGCAGCACTATTGTGTTACCGGGTCCTGCAGCAATAATCTGCAGAAGAGAATAAAATGAGAGTTTTTAGATTCTGTATTGTTTAATAAAATGGCGTCAAGAAGAATTTAGATAACTCTCCCATTACGTCATGCAAAGTTACAGATTAATTAGAGTTCCCTCCCCTTTACAGCTAATGAGTTCAATAACTTTGGCAACTTCGGTCCCATGAGTCGAAAAATTATTATTATGTCATATAGTAAATATTTAAAATTTTGGGGGATCTCCTAATTTGGACTCTTACAATTACCTACCCAAAATTGTTTTCTAACTATCAGGGGATAGTTAATGTGCTGCCAATGGTATACACAGAACCTTGGTTTTTCATCCAATCCGAATGACTAGACTTTTTTCCTTACCATGTCCTTATATACAGTTAACATAATATTATACATCTCCATAGTGCAGTTGAGTCAACTGGCGTGGTTTCGAATACCCGGCTGTACGTGACAAGTAGTAGGGTCGCCTGTCCAACCTCGTGGGTTTTGTCCGGGTCCTCCGGTTTCCTCCCACTGCTAAAGACCCCTACGTGCAAGCGAATTATTGAATTAAAATTAAACCATATGTTAATCCCGAAATTACCTAGTTTGTGTCGAGTGGACGTTAAACCCCATTTCTCTCTCTCTCTCCCCATAGTGCAGAGTATAATGGCTGGGATTGCAATATATGAAAATAACAGCTATATTTGACTACCAGGATAACTGCATACAACAACACAGACTGAATAAAGGGAAATGGAAGAAGAATTTGTTTTACTTGTATTCTTTTCAAGTATGAACACTTTTCTTGTAATAATTCCGTATTTGTATTTTAATATTTTATATTTTTATTTACAGATTGAGAAATCCTTACAAAGAATTCAACAAGGAACGAAGAATTCTATGTATACAACGTTTCAGAGTATCGAGAATAAAGTAGCTAATGTTATAGGCTGGAAAGATTTACTATTAGCTGTAGGGTTCCGATTCGAACAGACGGGTACTGGACTACCACCAGCCGTCTTCTTCCCCCAGTCTGATCCATCTGATAGATTAACACAAGCTAGTTCCAGTTTACAGGCTTTACTAGGTAAGCTGAATTTTACCATTCCATGCTTTCTTCATTTTCTTGTCACTGGAATAAGCCGTTCAACTTGAATGAGCCATTCATTTCAAAGCATTTATATTTTGTGAATTTAAAACATGCCCATAATGTGTCATGCCAGGGAATAACGGTGGAAGCATTAATATTGTCATTACTTTGTGAAATGAAATGAAATGAAATGGGGTTTAACATCCTACTGTTCTGCTCCTATACTGGGCTAATGAAGACGGGCATACGCCATACAGTGTGTAATGAGGGAAATTTTGCCCGGGCAGCGGCACTATCGCCTACTCTTATATCGAATTCCAACTGCCAGGGGATCTTTTACGTGCATTCCAATATATACACGGGACCTCGGTTGTTCGTATCATCCAGGACTAGACAGCTGTCCTTGTCAGGCCCTCCGTCCTGCATCACTGACAAGGGGAACCACGCCGGAAAATCTGGATGAACTTTCTTGGCCAATGCAGGGATCGAACACCCGACCTCCAGGCTAGCGAGCCAGCGTCTTACCTACTTAGCCACGTGATCCCCTCATTACTTTGTATATAAAAATATTCATTACTTTGTATATTTAAGAATGATTTGATGAATATTAATTGTGTTAATATATTCTATTTCAGGATTACCACCAAGTTCTGTAACAGCTTTATCTAAATTTGTAACAAGTTATGATGTAGGAGCAGCCTTAATAACAGTGGTAGGTATTCTCTTGTATAATTCATTATATTCAAATTTGATTCCAGGGGTTGGGTGGTGGAATGGTTAACGCACGCACGTGTTGCATCATAGGGTCTGTCATTGAGTCAACTGGCATGGTTTTGATTCCCTGGTTGTACGTGACAAGGATTATGGTCGCCTGTCTAACCATGTGGGTTTTCTCTGGGTCCTCCGGATACCTCCCACTGCTAAAGACCCCTTCGCGCAAGCGAATAATGAAATAAAATTGACCCATATGTTAGTCCCGAAATGACCTAGTTTGTGTCGAGTTCATGTTAAACCCTATTTTATTTCACTTATTTGTAGTATATATACTATTCAAAAAAAGTAGGGGATATTTGATTTTTAAGTGTTATTAAAGTCACCTAATGAAACTGACGAAGAAACAAATGACAAAATGAAATGAAGTTCACATTCATTGATTTATTCCAAATGATCGTTAGACTAAGTAAGGCACAGACTGACCATTATAAGGGTAAAATGATACCCGGGGTCAAACAGCAAAGTTACCACAGCATCACAACCAAGTCAGTAACGGGTAAATCCTCCTCTGTTTGCCAAACAAGCATTGATCCGACGTGGCATACTCCTAATGAGACGTCTAAGGTCATTTTGGTCCAGATTGTCCCATTCCTGTTGCAACGCAGCAGAAAGTTCTTGGACATTGGCAGGACGTTGTTGACGTTGACGTAACCTCTGTCCAAGCATGTCCCAGACATGCTCGATGGGGGAGAGGTCGGGACTCAGTGCTGGCCAAGGTAATGTGGTGATGTTCTGTTGTTGGAGGTAACCTGTAACGATCCTGGCCCTGTGACATCTTGCGTTGTCATCTTGGAAGATGAAACGGCGGCCATGACGTCGTGCGAACGGCACAACATGGACTGCCAAGATGTTGTCCCGGTAGTACTGGCCTGTAACACGCCCTGCAACAACATGTAAAGCCGTTCTTCCAGCAACAGTGATGCCTCCCCACACCATAACAGAACCACCCCCAAATCGATCATGTCTGATGACGTTAACGTCTTGGAAGCGCTCGTTTCGACGACGCCACACCCTCCTACGTCTGTCCAAAAAATCAACAGTGAACCTTGACTCATCTGAAAACATCACATTGCTCCAGCGTCAATTATCCCAGTGTTGACGATCCCTACACCAACGACGTCTTGCCTGAATGTGATGATCTCTCAAACATGGGATCACGCGAGGACGTCGGGCGCGAAGGTGACCCCTATGCAGTCGATTCCGAATCGTCTGGCCACTCACTCTCACACCAGTGTCTGTTTGAAGACGAGCGCTGATCTGATTTGCTGTGATGACACGATTTCTCAAGGCCAAGGTACGGATAAATCGATCCTGGGTTTGAGTTGTCGCCCTTGGTCGACCTGAGCGTGGTTTGTCCAGTACAGATTGTGTATCACGGTATCTGGACCATAGCCTGCTTATGACAGACTGAGAAACATTCATCGTCCGCGCCACAACCGCCTGTGTTGTGCCGATCTGTAGCATGCCAAGGGCACGTAACCTTTCATTTTGGGTAAGCCGACGCATATCAAAATTTGTTTTCTGGTCACTAAAACAATTAAACTGATGTTTCCACCCTGGAATTCAATGACTGTAACATTCAAAGTCAGAGTCGTGCAAATCTTGGGTTGGACCCCCATGATGATCCCAAGCATCACCTGCATTCCATGCGGTAGCTATTGGTGCGTTTGGGCGTCACATGTAACTGGAAATGTTTCTTCTGTTAGGTTCTATAGTGACTTTTTTCGTAGTCATTTGCATATTTTAGTATTATGCCCCCAAAATCAAATATCCCCTACTTTTTTTGAATAGTATATATGTAAAATATTTTATTTTGTAGATGAGAGATATATTAAATAAATTATCAGCTAAAGAAAGTGGTATAGATGTTATGGTTAATGTCAAGTTATGGAGAGTTAATGGTTGTCATGAATTTCTAGCATCACTGGGACTAGATCTAGTGGAAGTAGGTCAAGACAATGTAACCCTACGCCTCAGTAAACAGGCTGTGAAACGACATCTACAATTTGCGTTACAGTCATTGGTTGCTGTTTTCGGTAAGTTCAAATTCACAGTTTTGTAAGAAACAGGAATTACTGTATATATATATATATATATATATATATATATATATATATTCATTTGTGAAGTTAACAGATTTTTCAGACCGAGAGTCAAGTCTTAATATCCTACGGTTCTGCTTTGACTGGCCTAATGAAGAGGGGCATATACCATGCAGTGTGTTATGAGGGAAATTTTTCCCAGACAACGGCACTTGGACTCACTCTTATATCGAATTCCAACTGCCAAGGGATTTTGTATGTGCACACCAATATGTACATGGGAACTTGCTTTTTCGTCCCATCTGAATGACTATATGTTGACCTTGCCAGGCCCTCCATCCTGCTCCACTGACAAGGAGGAACCACCCTGGAAAATCCTGATGAACTTTCTCGGCCAATGCAGGGATCAAACATGGGACCTCCAGGTTAGAAAGCCAATGTCTTACTCACTGAGCCATCATGGCTGCCCAGATGATGTTAGAAACAATCTGTATATGTTTAACAGGAGCCAGAGTGCAGTATTCTCTAATATACTATCATATTCATAAATATATTTTCTTTATTTCAGAAGCACAAGAAGCACCAAGAACATTTTCGATAGAAAGTTCTAGTAGTATGGAGAGTCTGTCCTCATCTCATAGTAGTTCTTTATCATATGGTAGCACACCTCCTCCGTTATCCCCTAGAGGTCGAGGGTCAATGTTCAACCCAGCTGAGATGGAGAAAATACGATCCAGTAAAAATTATCTCTTAAATAAGGTAGGAATATGATCTGGTATACATATTCAATCCTGTAGAGAATGGGAGGTTTGGATGGCCGAATGGTCAGCACGTGCACGCTGTATCATAAGGTCTGTCATTGAGTCAGCTGGTGGGGTTTCGATTCCCTGGTTGTACGTCACAAGGAGTAGGGTCGCCTGTCCAAACTCCTGGGTTTTCTCCAGGTCCTTTGGTTTCCTCCCACTGCTAAAGACCCCTACATGCAAGCAAATTGTTGAAATAAAATTGAACCATGTATTAGTCCCTAAATGACCTGGTTTTTGTCGAGTGAACGTTAAACCCCATTTCTCGCTCTCTCTCTCTGTGTATAGATTGATTTTAGTTCTACCTGATATAATGTCAAGCACTGTTGAGGTAGTATCGTACACCTAAAGGGAACTGTGCCTGACTAAGCCTGGATTTGTACCAGGCTTGGGTATATTACATAACTTTCATCCATCTACCCATGATCGTAGCTCGATTTTACGATCCAATCAAAAACAGTTTACAAACCAGTCTTAGCCTTATTGCTTACATTCTCATCGATATGGCGGCTTGCTTGTTGCAACAAGATGATAGTTACTTCCCTTCGCCAACTTCCTTTGTATTTAACAATTTTTATCATTGGTTTATAAAAATAGCACAGTGCCCAAGGGCAGATAATTTGAATATGTGTCTCCCCCGTGGATGAACCCAGGGGTTAGTTGTGTGGAACAGAATGAGGATGGGGTAACCATGGACTTGCAAAGGTCACAACAATTACCAGATTTTTCTAAGAGTCAAATAAGATAGAATGTCAAACTTAGATTAATGTTTTCAATATATTTTGTGTTTACAGGGAGGACTTGTTGGTAAGAAGGGATCAACGAAACATGGAAAACCAACCCAGTATGATCCGGCAATATATTTATCACATCAAAATAAAATACGGAACATGTATCCAGCCAGTAGCGACAGTATGGCGTCAGAGAGTCCTGTCTTTACCTCAGAGGAACAGTCCAACTTTAGTTCTCCTAGTCAAGAAGAAATGGAAGCCGGTCAATCTTATTTGGGTTCTGATTCACCCAAAATTAATGGTAACCATGGCAACAGTGTAAGAAATATGATGTCTGTATTCGAACCAAACAAATCTCAAAAAGCTTTCGATTTTCGAAAATCATCTCCGAAAATTCGTGAAGATCGAAATGAGGGTGATCAGAGTGTAGTGTCTGTGCCAAGTGTTAAAAAATCAGATAAGAATTTGTTTGAGGATCTAAATAGTTCAAAACAATCGGGATCACCTGTTTCCTCTAGTAGTATGACAAATATTGATCATTCGGATCTCGCCAAGAGAATTTTAGCTGATGTCAGCATGGAACATAAAGCAGTTCAAATGATGCAACAAATGAACCTGGCGAAATCGCGTGAAAACAGTCGAAGAATGCGAGAAGAAGAAATCGTCAGTGAAAATAGCTCTGTTAATTCCGATCAAGGTTCCATAAGATCGGAATCTCCAGTTAAATATCATACTATATATAAGGAAAGCGAAATAGACATTGATACCGGAAAAGATTTTGAAAATAAAAGTTCCTTCAGTCGTAGTAATCGAAGAAGCATCTTACCAAAAGATCAGTTTTCTTCTCTGGAAAGATTTGGTTCCAAAAAACAAGACAGTGACAATGAATTAAGTTTGAAACAGGATATGCGCAATAGTTCTGAATCGTTAGTGTCAAAAAGTAACAGTGTAGCATCAGGTTCGCGATTCCAAACTTACGCTGATCACGTCGCGCAAACGTACGGACAAAATGATCAAGAAGACGAAAGTTATGCGGATCTTTGTCGAGCTCAAGGTGCTAAAATACAAACTCAACACACCTCCAAAAACAAATATCCATTCCAGTCGAGTCCTTCCAATTTTTTACGGCAGACAGCGTCATATAGTTCAAATTCGTCCCAGCAATCTCTCTCATCAAAACCGATCTCCACCCTTCCTTCAAATCTCACCTCCGGTCCAGGAATACAAAGTGGAGAAAATTCAATATCATCTGAAAACAGTGAAGGAGCCGACAGCAATCCCCAGTCATCGATATCTAGTGGATATCATTCGGAAAAGACAGTTGATCCGATGACAAAAAGTGAAAAAACCAATAGGGATTCTTATACAAAACATTTTGTTAGTAATACTCCCGCCAATTCCATTTCTTCCTTGCCATCATTCCGCCCATATAATAACCCAGTGACTCCATTGATACGAACAAATGCTCTTCAGAATCGTCCAGAATCAACTGCCAGTACTGGTAGTCAATATTCATCCGCCTCATCAAGTAGATCTGTAATTTATCGTCCAAGCTCTAATACATCCCTCAATTCTCTTCAGAGAAACGGTGCATCTTCGATATTACGGAGCCAGAATGTCTCAAATCCAGTTAATACAATGCAACGATTAGAACCTGTAAAATCACAGTACAAGAAGAAAGTGAGTTTTTCCGACTCCGATCGTGAATCGTCTAACACTAGTTTTGAAGAAGGTGTGCGTAGTGAGCAATCAGAAACTTTACAAGCAGATAACGGATACGAATATCTGAGTCTCCAACGTTCTTATGGACAACAAATCTCAACCGGAAATATTTCCGATATATACGCGGATGTGCTTAAAGACTCAAAGAAATCGAATTGTGAAAATAATCCAAGACATTTTTCAAGTGATAAAACTTTTGAGAATAAAATCGGAAACGGTACGTCATCATTCTCTCACAGTCCGAGTAATCAGAAACCCATTCAACTTCGAACTCTTAATCTAGACAAAGAGAAAAAGCCAGGAGTTAAAAGTAAAATAATACAATCAAAGTGCTAAATATGTTTATTGTTTCATGTATTTTCTTGTAAAATAACGAATATTTGTAGGAGAAACACTCTTAAACGACTATAGAAATGTGTGATGTATTCTCTTGTGGGGGAGACTTTTATAACAGAAACATATTGGTGAATATTGTCTTACAAAAATTAAACTGAATTGTTTATGATGATTTTGGTTTTAATTTTAAGTATGTACATTGCATTTATATTGTAATAGAGAACTATGCAGATTATGTGTACCATTACTTACATCAGCAACGATATGTGTATATGCCAATATATAATCATTTTTATAATATACAGATAATCCCACTTGACTTAATGTCTCTGATTGTTATTTGAGGGATTTTGAAACTTGTGAAATCTACAATCTTGTGAAAATTGAATCTCTAAAAGGAATATCAGTCCAAAAATAGTTTTTTTCCATTGAGTAGTTTGCCGGCATGTTTTCCCGTTGTCAGTGGTGCAGGATAGCTGTCTAGTCGTTCGGATGGGATGAAAAACTGAGTCCTGTGTACACGTTGGCGTGCACGTAAAAGTTCGATATCAGTAGGAGCACCACTGTCCAGGCAAAGTTTCCCTCATAGCACACTATATGGCGTATGCCTGTCTTTATTAGCCCAGTCTAAATAGAACAGTAGGACGTTAAACCCCATCTTATTTCATTTCATTTAGTATTTACAAAGATATGATGAATTGAAAATTCTGCATCATTCAGCATCCACTACAGACAAAATAAACAAGACTTGGGTAAATATTTTGTTGGGCCTCTGGATATTATCTACTGTTGTTATTTTGGTTCTAAATTAAACGTTACATTATCAATTTGAGTATATTTTAGAGTGAATTAGATATTTTGCTATAAATGCCAATAATGATCATTGACTTTAATGTCAGTGCTTTGCCTTGATTATTAACTTATTGTTTTTGTGTGTCTTGTCTCTATATTCATTCAAATCATATATATAATTTATATTTATGTAAAAATAAAGCATAATCAGTTTATGAAATAAATATAAATTACATTTACTGATGTAGGTAAATATTGTATAGGTATGTTAATTACAGAAAGGTATAAAATAGTTACCTGTATTACAATACAATCATGTTGGAGTGTCACCTGTGATTTATAATAAATGGATGTTGGTCCTTTAATTATTGTTGTGCTTGCATGTAATGGCATCTTTGTTCCCCACTGATCAACGCCTTCTGATGGATAGAGTAGCAACATTTTTTTGACTGACAATGGTTTACATCATGTTTTGACAATATTTGTCTAAATTAAAATTATCCATTCCTTTGTATTTATTGTGAATAAAACATACAATGAAATATTTTACATGTGAATAATCATGGATATTTTTAATAGAGGATGTGTTCATATATTGAATAAATGTACATTTTACTTATTATAACTTACTATAGATATAGTTTATATATATATGTACATATATGTAATATAAGATGTTTTATAGAATATAAACTCAACTATATGAAATATAAACTACATTTATCTTTGTTGTTTTTTGTGTATGGTAGTAGCCTATGGGCCTATATGCTTTTTGAAGATACAGAGAGAGAAATGGGTTTAATTTTATTTCAATAATTCACTTGCACGTAGAGGTCTTTAGCAGTGGGAGGAAACCAGAGGACCCGGAGAAAACCCACGAGGTTGGGCACAAGACCCTATTTCGTGTCACACACAACTGGGGAATCGAAACCACGCCAGTTGAGCCAATGACAGACTTTATGATACAGTGGGCACACGCTAACCATTTAGCCATCCAACCCCCCTTTGAAGATACTTTTACAACGAAAAAATAGTTGGGTATCCTTCGAATGTGGACAGAAATAAAATTTCTCATAGCCAAAACAAATGTATTGCGCAACTAATCACTAAGGCCTTTATTCAAATCCAATAAAGTGGCATAAATTATTGATTTAGACAAAAAGAAGTGCGGGGCAATTTTAATCAAATGTGGTCAAAGGGGAGATAATATGGCTTTAAGGACTTTGATACAGATTTATCTCCCTTGAACTATTAATCACACAATTGTCTTTGGAGCCAATCTTCGTTTTCAAAATAGCGATCTGACCCTCACACCCTACCAATTTACCCACAAATTGAATGGAGGCTACAATTGACAAGGTCTCCTACAAGCCTGACCTAATTTGGGATAAGCGACACAATATGTTGAATTGGAATTTTAATACACTTTGTATTTAGTATGTTCAATAAAACTAAATTATACCATACCTTGAAGAACAATTACCTTTGCACATAAAAAAACCCCAAACAACCAATTCTAAAATGGCTATTTAAAGCAGTGTCACAGGTGGGCATTACCAAAAATAATTAATAAAAAGAATGTTGTTTTGGGGTTGGGGGTATTCAATATTTTTTTAAATTGAGCAATTTCAAATTACATGTCTGTGCTAGTCCATCTTCAATCTAGGAATTGTCCCAGTTAAATTTCAATAAATGAAACTAGTTATTTGTTGGTAGTTTTTCATCAATGACATAATCATTGGTCTGCAGTTAACCTGGATATCTCAAAAGCCACGTCATGTCCGTAAGTTATGGTGTCTAAAAACATGTCCATAAACTTGTTGATTTGTAGTAGTTGCATTAAAGCTGGAACATTCACTCACTTAGACAAGGTAAACAAGACATTTTACACTTTGTTCTTTAATTTGAGCACTTAAACCAACTCAACAATCAATTCCCTGTTAAGTCTTGGACTTCTGCTTTAACAACTCTTATACTTTCACACTCAAAAAGAGAGAGAGAAATAGGTCATTATGGGACTAACATATGGTTCAATTTAATTTCAATAATTTGATTTCGAGTAGGGGTCTTTAGTGGAGGGAGGAAACCGGGGGGCCCAGAGAAAACATACGAGGTCCGACAGGTGACCCTACTCCTTGTCACGCCACTTGACTCAATGACAGATCAACCTTATGATGCAATGCACACCCGTTAACCATTCAACCCCCTCCAACCCTCCAAAGCAAAAATCAATAAATAAATAAAAATAAAAAACCCATAACACATAATATAGTTTTTTTTGTTTTTAATTTTTTTTTGTATTTTTTTTGTTTTTTTATTTATTTTCTACAAAAACACACTGCAGTGTAATTTTCAGTAGACAACCTGTGTTAGCATTATTACTGCATGTGTTCACATATTCATGTTGCATTTTTAAAAACATCTGGGTTTTAGTCAATCATTCTTGCTTTAATTCAAAGTCACTTTTTATCATCACTATCACATGTATTTTATATTTAAAGTCTGTCATTATTCGTAAAAACACAGGGACAGATGACTCTTTTTTTTTTCCTAATGAATATATTATTATTAATTTTTTATTCCTCATAATCTTCTGGGCTGGGCACAAACTACTTGGCAGGGCACAAATTTAACCACACTGAAAAAATACAAATATATACAATTATTTTTTTAATATTTTATGAAAGCCATTAGGTGAAATATACAATATCATCCAAAGGTGTGAGATGACAGGTGTTTAGATAAGATAACTCTTAACTCTCACTCAACCAGAAATAAAGTTTTTGCGTTCCCAAAGCATGGACAAATCAAGTTACTTATCTCTGCTTAGCTGAAAATGTTCATCATTTAACTCCATTTTAATAGTAATCCTATTTCATTTCGTTTTTTATAGTTTAAAATTTTGTTTTACTTGTCTTAACTAAACTAGGATCTGGAAGAGTTGCTATATAACCCGCGTTCTGGATGATGTGAGAGTTTGGCCAATGCAACGGTCTGTTACAGCGAGTTTTTGATGTGAGGTGCACAGAGCTTTGAGTAAACCACTAGAAACGTCAACGCTTATTAATTAACCAAAGTCTGACGTCATAAGGTCAAAAGCCGCTCAAATGACACCCAGCGACCTTCCACTACAACTGGTCAGACCGTCGAAAGTAAAAAAACCGAAACGAAATATAGATCTGGATTTTAATCAGATCGTTTAAATAGTCAGCTGCTTTCTTAGTCTAACATAGATACTTGCCAAACTCACAGTTGTTATTCGGAGGATGTCACTGCGATTCTTCTCAGTGGTAGGTCTTGATGACCGACTGTATCGTGATGTATAATGAAATGGGGTTTAATGGCCTACTAAAGGCCCAATCCCAGTGGCCGATGGACACAAAACATATGCAAAAAGGACACAGCGGATGAGCAAACTTTCGGGGGTGGCTCCATCCGTTTTCATCTGCTGCAGAAATGGACAAAATTTGCGAAAACAGAACAGAAGTATGTAGCGGGAATATTAAATGGATGTTCATCGGAAGCCTAGCGGATGAAAGCGGATCACAGCTCCGAAGGGGTTAGGCAAACTCCAGACACCCTTCAATATACCAGATACATCCCAGATACAAACACTTTGTCCGTTTGGAAAACTTTTTATATGAGATGCATACGATTACATCCTTTTTATTTCCGTGCTACTAACGATGTATTGACGTTCCATGTACCTTATCTTTCCTCCCTCTTTCCGTTTTCAGCTGGAGCGGATGTGAGTTGCGACGATGCCCAGAGAATGCAGAGAGGATACAGTGGACGTTTAACAGATGGTAACGGACATGGAACGTTTGGTGCTCGTATATGTCGCTCATTTACATCGTACACGGCAGAAAGTTCATCCGTTATAAAAGTTTTGTGCAGCTCAAAACTTTTTGCGCGGATGAAATCAAAGTGAACGGATGCCCGATAGAGCGTATGAAACACTTATGCATCCGTAAGTGCAGTGGGACCGGGCCTTTAACGGTCTACTTTCATGCACCGACAGGCTAATGAAGACTGGTTATGCCGTAAAGTGCTATGAGGTAAAGTTTGCCTGGACAGCACCGCTACGACCTACTCTTATTTAGAATTGTAATTGTGGAGGGTTCTTTTATGTGCACGCCAATGTGTACATGGGACCTCAGCTTTTCATTCCATCCAAACGACTAGACAGTCCTTGCCAGGTTCTCCGTCCTGCACTGGGGGAAAATGCACTGGAAAATACTGAGAAACTTCCTCGGCCAATACAGAAGTGATTCTTAGACCTCATTGGCTACAAGACTAATATATAACCACTAAAAAACCTGGGCACTGAAAGGGTTAACAGATAAATGAAAGACTTACCATTTTTGTGTCACGCCTTATTTTCATTGATTTTGTTGGTATGACATAACTTGCCCTTGGGATGGCACTGAAAAATAAATAATCAAACCTTTAAAGACATGTTCCTCTAATTAGGATCCGCAAATGAAATGAAATGATACGATATGAAGTTTACTTTGCTGCAAAACCTGGCTAATGAAGATGGATAAAATCTGAAAGTTTTCAACACATAAAATAACAAAAAAATAAACTAGAGAGGGAGAGAGAGAGGAATGGGGTTTAACATTCACTTGACACAAACTAGGTCATTTCAGGACTAACGTATGGTTTAATTTTATTTCAACAATTCGCTTGCACGTGGGGTTTTTTTAGCAGTGGGAGGAAACTGGAGGACCCAGAGAAAACCCATGAGGTTGGACAGACGACTGTACTCCTTGTCATGTACAAGCTGGGAATCAAAATCACGCCACATGACTCAATGACAGACCTTATGATACAATGCTCACACATTAACCATTCGGCCACCAAACGCTCCATAAAACAACAAAGAAAGTGCTGCAAAAGTGATGCTCACACATTCAAGCTTCTGTTAGATTTCTAAATAATCGTAAAATTTATTGTGTCAATAGACAATTATACCATGCCTGGGAATTTAGCAATATCCTCTTATCAATGACTAACAATCTCTTAAATTAAAATACAGTTGTTTGATGTCATCCTTTGATATTGGTGTACTATTATTTCAAATAATGTACAGGCAACATGTCACTCGTATATTATTTTTATACTATTGGACTTGCATGACGATTTCATTGAAATGCACATGTGGGATGGTAACTGTATATAAAGTATGGTTTAATGGTCGAGAGCGAGACATTAAGTAATATATTGATGCTGCACGAGGCGTTAGCCGAGTGTTGTTTCAATATATTACGCAATGTCTTTAGCTCAAGACCATTAAACAACTTAAAATACAGACACTATCCCGCATGTGTTTTTCAATGAAATACGTCACGCCAGTCCAATATTTCATCTAGTTTAGATAATGTACGATTAGCAAGTTGCCCATACATTATTGGCAATAATGGTATGCCAACATCAAAGGATGACGTCACATCTGTATTTTAAGTTGTTTTAACATCTGTGTGTTTTTTAATATATTTCAAGACTATTAAAGATAGCAACAAACACAATTATTTAAAAAAGAAAAAGGTAGTAGACTAGTTTATATATGTATGTATTAGATACATACTATGTGAAACATACTGGACTTGTTGATGTGTAGGTGTCTGACCTGCTACACCATGATGCATTAAATGTCCCTGTCCAGGAATTTGTGTTGGGCCTAAAAATAG